CTGGGAAGCAGGGGCTGGGTGTCCCCACCCCCTGCACTGATTCCTACACTCCCCACCCCATCTTCTTAATCCCCCCACACCCAACCCCCTGCCCTAACTCCTGCACCTCCACATCTTAGCCCTGTGCCCCACACCCACAGACCTCTGCCCCAAGCTTCCCCACCTCTCCCAACCCTGAATCTTCCACCCCCAACACCCTGCCCTGAGATTCCCACCTCTCTCTCTCTCACACACACACACACACACACACACACACACACACACACACACACACACACACACACCGCAATTCTGGGTAAGCCAGAATTTATCTTCCAGTAAATTATAATAGAAAAAAGATGATCACTGATCAAAGAGAGGAATATTTAGCAACATCAAGATCTTTAACTAACTCTGCCTCTAAAGCATTATGCACACTCACAGCGCTATATAAATAATGAAATCATTCTGTATACTTGTGACAAATCTGAAAAGGGCTCTGTATAAATAAATCAAGTCAAATCTCGCAGCACATTTACCCATACTGAAGCACACTCAATTAGGACAAGAACTTTAATCTACCATTTTCCCTTCTTGCAGCTTTTGCGTTCTATTGTAGGTTTTACATTTAAAAAAATTTCAAACATTAAAATCAGACCAAACAATACTTTTAAAATACAGGAAAGGAATGATTCAAAGCTGCATGGTTCAGCTTTTGATGCAAACCTGATGGCAAAGTAATAGATTTTGGGTCCAAAGACATACATTTTTGGTATGTGTTTGTACAGTGCTAAGCACAAAGGGGCCTAATTCCTTATTGGGTCCTTTACTTACTACCACAGTGTAAATAAATAATTAATAATAAATGCACTGAAATAATCTTATGTACCGTTAATAAATAGATGCAGCACAAAACACATTACAATGCTTTACAGGATAGCAAGATTCTGCTATACAGAGACCTACAGAAATAATGCTGTCTTCAATTATCAGCAAGCATTAATAAACGCAGCAGAGCTCTACAGTATATTAAATGCCAAAAAAGGGTACATTAAGTTAATGTTAAGTATTAAATACCCACAAAAGCCAGGAAATTAAAGCTAGCAGTTCAAAGAGCTCCCAGTGTCTTGTAGTAAAAACATTCTATTTTTAAAAAAAATCCTCACTGTTGTATAAATCAAATCAAATAAAACTAACAATTCTCTTCATTCTCTCAATTAACAATTATTCACATGATTTTTTTTCGGAAATATTCCATATCCTCGTTTCCCACATGGAAGTCTACGGCTTCTAAGGATGTAAAAAGTAGTTTAAAAATGTAACCATTAAAAATCCTAGTGGTTACACACACTGTGGGCTCTGCAGTGTGTGTGTGGGGGGGGGTGGAAAGGAGGGGGGGTGTTTGTGTGAACAAGATCGATAGATCGATAGATAGATCGATAGGCAGTGAAGCCTCTCTGGGAGTGGGCTGGCAGCCCCTGCCAGCCCCACTCCTGGGGAGCCAATGTATAACCATAATGGAAACCAATAAATTGAGAATTTATCAATTAACCATTTAAACCAGAGTAGAAAAAAAACCTAGCTAAAGATACATTTAATTAAGATACATTATTGCTCAAAGATATCTCATCATGGAATAGGGATTATAAATTCTAATTCTATAGTATGGAACAATATATTCAGGTAACGTTTAAGAAAAGTTTTGTAAATAAGTTCTAATAGTTCATGGATTAGGGACCCAATTTTATGGGGTTCCAGAGACAACCTGTATAGATTACTTAGGTAATCTTTCTATCTACCCAATGGGATTCAGTGTTCAGTCTAGAAGATACCATCAAAAGATGCTTCGTTTTGCAATTCTCAAACTGTGAATTTCTCTTCAGAGACAACATGCTTGTTAACAGCAAAAATGGTTTAAAATAAATAAATGTACAGAGGTGAGAAATAACAGATCTTAACACTATTGCCCCTCAACAAGCTTGTGTACACAGAGTTAATCCCTTACCTCCCTCTAAAAATGTGAAGTTTCAAAGATTCAGTGATAGGGTTGCCAGGTGTCCAGTATTCACCTGGACAGTCCCGTGTTTTTACCTCCTGTCCGGTAAGAAAAAAATTCAGAAAATACCGGACACCTAAGATGCCCGGTATTTTTTTATATTTTTCCCCGGCCAGGAGACGAAAATGCCAGGCACCTGGCAACCCTACAAACACTCAGCACCCGGCCTCCTCGCCCCCCCCCCCCAGCCCCCAACACCCCCAACCGCCATGCTTATCTGGTTCCACAAGGCTGCCAGCACAAAGACCAAGGGGAAGCAATGACTCCTCTGGGTCTTAGTGCTCAACTGCTCCCCTGTTCCTATCCTTGCACTCACTCTTAAAGGGGACATGCTGTAATGCTGTTTTATTTAATTTTTTTTCTTAAGTCTTGGAGTCCTTTTTGTTTGGGGCTCAACAACTTTGGTCCCCCACCACCACCTTTTTTTTTTTTCTTCAACAGAATTTTTTCCCGGTGGTTTTTTTGGGGGGGAATAGGAGGGAGAGCGGGTGTTCGGTATTTTTGTTTCAACCATCTGGCAACCCTATTCAATGAAGAGACAATTGTTGGGGGAGGAATAGATCTGGACAGGGAGAAAAAGTCTGGAGATAATTGTGGATGTGTCTAGACTACGGAGGGTTTTTTTTCGGAAAAAAAGTGCCCT